CCCTCGCTAAGGGGGCGGGGCTCCGACCTGTACCAGGCGCCGCCCGGCCCGCGGCAGCCGGAGGACGCCACCTACCTGGTCCCCCGGGAGACGCGGGCGGGGGGGGCGGACGACTGCTACCTGGTGCCCAAAGGCACGCCGCTGGCCTGTGAGGAGGTGTACCAGTCGCCCACCGGGGGCGCCGCCGCCGCCGCCCTGTGCTCCAACGGCCCCAAACAGGACACCACCGGGACGTACCAAACGCCGACCCCCGCGGGGGCCGCCGCCCTGGCCCACCAGCACCCCTCCCAGCTGACCGGGGCCAAGCTCGGCCCCCAGGAGCTGCTGAAGCGCCTCCCCCCGAGCCCGGCCGCCGCGCGGGCCAAGGCCGCCGCCCCCGCCCACCGCGGCTCGCCGCTGCTGCTGAGGGCCGGCCAAAACCGCGCCCCCGGGTCGCCCGGAGCCGCCCGCAAGCCCCCCCCGCCCGCGCCGCCCGTGAGGGGCGTCACCAGGAAGGAGGCGGCGCCGGCGGCGGCCGACAAAGCCCAGCCGGCCCCGGCCGGCCAGCAGCAGCCAGAGGACAAACAGCGGGGGGGGGGCAACCCGAATAAAGAGGAGAGGATCAGCAACGGCCCCGAGAACAGCAGCAGCAGCAGCACAAAGGCGGAGAATCAACATCAGCCTGCGGACGAGCAAGTACGTGACCTAATTCTGCCTTTTCTGCATCTGTAGCCACAAAGAAAAAACCTCAATGATGTCATATTTTAAGCACAAAACAAGAATAAAGGGTGAAAGATTTAAACAGGAGGCAGTCAGTCGGGTTGCTAATGCTAGCAATAAGCAACCGGTAAATTAGCAACTCGGTTGGCTTCCAGGCCGTCGGCTTGAGCCGCTTTAGTTTTTTAGGAGTTTTTTTTTGGGCTCGTTGGGGTGTTTGGCGTCTCTCTAACTCCTGATCTCATTCTCTGTTTTGCTGCCGTGGTAGGTGTACGACACCCCCCCCAGCGGCCGGTGGCAACAGCCGGTCCCAGCTGCCCTCAGGGACGATGACGGCATCTACGACACCCCCCGCAGCGTCCCCCCCCCCGGGGGCCCCCGAGAGGGGGGTAAATATAACGGCCCCCCGGGGGGGGGGGGGGGCTGTCTTATTAGTGACCAGCTCCCACCATCGGGGATTTGGATGACATTAAAACGGCAAATAGATTATTCGTCCCAAGACACCCTAAAGGGGGGGATAAATGTCTTATCAGCTTAGGTAACGATGCGTTTATTACACACCAGATCGTGGGAATTCAGGATTTGAAATCAGCTCATTGTCTGACTCGACGCCGAGTTAAAAACACGGTCATGTTCAGCTACTTCTGGGGAGCCGGACCAGCATCAGAGTCGCCCAACAGTGTTTAAAAAAGCCCAATTCTGAGTTTTTTCCCCCAGTTCCTTGGGTCCGTTTGAGTCCTTTGAGTTTATATTTCCAAACAGCTTTTAAAGTATTTGTCACACGATTCCTAAAGACTGCTGACAACTGATGTGACGGATGGGTCCTGGTGTTGTTACATTTGCATTATTTAAAGTGTGTTTAAAAGCGAGCTCCACCCATTTCATGAGTTCTGATAATGGGATAACTGGGAACGCCGGGATTGAGAGGATCCAAACTGGACCACCAAAGGGCTGCGTTGCCACTTCTTCCCACATTCCACCGTTGGTCCCTGCCCCCCCCCCCCCTCCCCCCCCCTCTCCAGGGCAAGGCCACACCTGTCTCTGTCTGCCGGGGAGCCTGTCTATCCAGTCCAAATGCTGTTTCTATTTTCTCCCAGTCACACCCATCTGCGAGGGCCACCGGCGGCCCACCACCGGGCCGGCCTCCCCTTTAATCTGACAGCTGTTTGGGGTTTTCCTCCCTCTTGCACGGCTCCACCAGCACACTAAATGTTTGCACATGCGGGTTTAAAGCGAGGGAAGGCACGGCCAGAGGGTTCTTGGTCTGAGTCCCCGGGGGAACCAGGACCAGAGGGTTCTGGGTTGGAGTCCCGGGGGAACCAGGACCAGAGGGTTCTGGGTTGGAGTCCCAGGGGGAACCAGGACCAGAGGGTTCTGGGTTGGAGTCCCGGGGGAACCAGGACCTTTCTGGGTGGTTCTGCATGTTCTCCTGTGTCTGTGGGTTCTCTCTGGGTTCTCCGGCTTCCTCCCACCGTCCAAAAACCTGCATGTTAGGTTGGCTGGACTCCAAACTGCCCTTAGTGTGAGTGTGTGTGGTTGTTGGTCCTTGTGTGTCTCTGTGTGTCCCTGTGATGGACTGGGGACCGTCCAGTGTGACCCCGCCTCTCCCCATTGGCTACTGGGATAGGCTCCGCCCCCCCCGACCCCATTAGGGAATAAGAGGTTACGATAAGGGATGGATGGTTTAAAAAGAGACCCTGATCTAATGGAGGAATCCCATGAGTGACCCTCCTGTTTTCTCCCCCCCCTGCAGGTCTACGACGTCCCCACAATCACTCTGAACAAATCCACTTCAGATCTCCAGGCCGATGAGGGTGAGGACGAGGTCTACAGCGTTCCCACGCTCCCCGGCGTTCCTCTGGGCCCGGCCGAGTCCGCCGCCGGCCTCCCGGCGGATCCTCCGGCCGGCGCCGCCGGCGACCAGCGGCGGGACTCCTGCGATCCGGACGGCGGCGTTTACGACATGCCGGCGCTGAGCCTCAAAGCCCTCCCGAACTCCTCCTCCTCCTCCTCTTCCTCCTCCGCCCACCGGCTCTCCGTGTCCAGCAACGGGTCGGGCGACGTGCCGTGGCGGGCGCCGCTGTGCGTCCTGGTGCAGGCGGCGCTAAGCTCCGCCCCCTCGCTGTCCTCGCGGGAGCTGGCCGCCTCTCTGGCGGAGGTCCTGTCCGCCTGGAAGTCAAACCACCCGGGCGACGCCCCCCCGCCGCTGCAGCAGGCCTGGGCGCGGCTGTCCGACCTGCTGCCGGCGCTCGCCGCCACCGGCGCCGCGGCGCCCTCCGCCCAGCTGCTGGTTTTGGCGCAGCGCTGCCTGGAGGAGAGCGCCCTGCTGCTGACCGCCCAGGGCCGCCCCCGCCTGCCCTCCCAGGACTCCCTGTCCCGCCGGCCCCTGCCCGCCCTCCCGGGGCCCGACGGGAAGCCCGCCAATGGAGGGGGGGGGATGGGCTCCCGTAAGGGCAGCTGGATCCAGGAGCGGCCGCTGCCCCCCACGCCGCAGCCCGCCTTCCCCCCGCCCCCCCCCGCCCCGCCCGCCGACGGGGAGGACGACCCCAGCAGCGAGTACGCCGGCATCGGCCTCACGCCGGCGCCGCCGCCAGCGCCCGCCGGGGACAGCGTGGGATACGTCAAGCTGCAGGTCAGCACCCAAAGGCCAGCCGCACAATTCAGTTAAATTCAGTTTTATTCCTATAGCGCTGAATCACAACAGCAGGTACAGTGGGGGAAATAAGTATTTGACCCCTTTCTGATTTTGCAGGTTTGCCCACTTACAAAGAATGCAACGATCTATAACTTTAATCATATGTACATTCTAACAGTGAAATTCCAGAAAATCACATCATATGAATTTATAAAAATTGATAACCATCTCATGAGGAAAAATAGGCATTCTTTGTAAGTGGGCAAACATGCAAAATCGGCAAGGGGTCAAATACTTATTTCCCCCACTGTATCTCTAGGCTATTTTTTTGCGAATATCGGCAGCCGATCCAATCAAAATATCGGAACGGCTGCCGATATTTGCAAAAAAATGCGTATCGGCTGGCAGGAGAAAATGCAGATCCAGACTCCAGATCCAGTCCAATCCCACTCGAGCATTAGCATTAGCATCTCCTAACCCACAGCTCTGTGTCCTAACCATTAATTTGTTATCAGAGTAAATCCCTGTTCAACATGAGTCTGACAACTAAGCAAGTAGATAAATAACTTTAACACAAACTCTGATAGGCCGGGATCGGATCGGAAGTGAGAAAAGCTGGATCGGGACATCCCTAGTTATCTTTCCAAACAGAGCAGGTCAGACCGACTCTGGAGTTATTTACAGAAACCCAACGGTTCCCACCAAGAGCAGCATTAGGCGACACAGGGAAGGGAAAAACTGCCGTTAGGAGGCAGAAACCTGGAACAGAACCAGAGAGGGGGGGGGGGGCATCTGCCTCGACCGGTTGGGTGAGAGAGAGAGACAGAAAAGGGGGGGGGGGGGGGGCACCCTACACAGTAACCCATAGAGGTACAGACCAGTAAAGCTAGTGTTGCTATAGGCTGGATGAAAATTGGTAGATATTGATAGTAATGTTTGTAATGCATGTTTTCTGTTTCAGGGCAAACCGGAGCCGCCTCCTGACACGCCGACTGAGAACGGACAGACGCACACCATCACTGCAGAGGTAAGGCCACCCCCCCCCCCCCCCCCCCCCCCCCCCCCCCCCACCTGAAATCCACCCCACTACAGCTCTGTAATGGAGGATTTTAGCCTCTCGCAGGTCACCTTTCCCCCCCCTTTGCTCACAGTCTGCTCCGTTTACAAGGCAGAGCGCCATGATTCCTTAATCCGGCTTCAGATTTACAAACACACACACACACACACACACACACACACACACACACAGAGTCACACACCCACACACTCAAACTCCAACTCATACTCATACACACAGTGTTGGAGCCGAGTCCATCGGCTCAACCTGTTCAGTGGGTGTGCTGGACCACAACAACCCGTCCCCCCCCCCCCCCTCTTTCCCTCTCTCTCTCTCTCTCTTTGTGTTGCCCCGGACGAGCAACAACAGCTCACTTGTGGCTCTCAGCCGTCTCTGCTGGACAATAAGCGACAGCTCTGCGTCGGGCCGTGGCTCCTCTGGCCCAGCTCTGAATTATTTTCTGCATGAAGACGGCGGTTCTGAGGCAGAGCTGTGGGATTAGGGTGGGGGTGGGGGGTGGGGTGGGGGGGGGGGGGGGGGGGGCTCAGCTGGTTGGACGGGCGCCTTGGAGCAAGAGGCTGCAGCTGGCCCAGATTCTGTTCCAGCAACCAGGCAACTAATGCCAGAACAGATCCAGGAGGGAGGACTGGCCCCTCCCATTGGCTGGGGCCAGGCCCCTGGTATTATTATGTTAGAACTGCTTGTCTTAGTCTTATACCGTGTATATATCTTGCAAATACAGTAGAACCTCTACATACAAGTTTAACTGGTTCCAGTACCGACTTCGTATGTTGAAATATATGTATGTTGATGTTTATGCATTTGGTAGACGCTTTTATCCAAAGGGACTTACAGAGTATGTATGTTTGTTCAAATATTCCCATCAGAATACACTGTAATACCGATCATTTGTTCCACAGCCCAAAAACCTACGATAACTCCTTAATAAATACTGCAGATAATTAATTACACATGGCAACAAAACAAATGCATTATGTAAGAGAGAAATAAAAATAAATAAATTGTAAAGAAATAATCAATAAAAGGGATTTTATTGACACTTGAATGGAGGTAGAGGTACAGACTGAGATACAGGACGGCTTCTAACTTACTCTAACTTTCACTATCTCAACTTAAAACTAACTTAGCTTATTTATTTTTATTTAATTTTTAGATTTAATATATTTTTTTCTATGACGTATTTGATCGAATTTCACTTCGGATGTTGGAAAATTCGTATGTTTAGGCATCGTAAATAGAGGTTCTGCTGAATAGAAATATTTGCATGTGTATTATTTGGTTTTCAGAATCTTTAAAATGATTAACTATAACAGGTGAGTGTAGTTTGATGCATCTGGTAGCAGTTTGCTTCTTCCAGCTCCTCTAACGAGAACAAATCTGCTCTTCTCCGTTCACAGTTGACTCCGTCCCCCCCGTTGCCGGGGTCCCTGTCGCTGGGGGACTCGGAGCTGCTGTCCTTCTACTCCTCCCAGAGCCTGGCGCACCTTTCCTGCCTGGCGGACGCCATCGACGTGCTGTTCGCCAGCGTCCGGGGCAACCAGCCGCCCCGCGTCTTCGTGGCCAAAGGGAAGAGCCTCATCGTGACGGCGCACAAGCTGGTCTTCATCGGGGACACTCTGTCCCGCCTCCTCTCCTCCTCCGACCTCCAGGCCAAAGTAGGGTTGTCACGATACTAAAATTTTCAACTCGATACCGATACTCAGGAAAATACTCGATACCATTTTCGATACCACAAGGATAAAAACAAAGACCCTAAAATTTAACTGAATTGTGTCTTTCATTTCAAACTGACCTGTTACTGATGTTATCGTGACTGGTGGCCCACATTAATGACCCTAACCCTAACCCTAACCCTTCATAATAGTGAGAAATAAATATTTTTTGGTTAAACTTGTTTGGACTTATTGTACAAACCTATTTAACATCCACTATTTTAACATAATATTATGCATAGAGTTTAATTCAGTGTTTGCTAGATTACTTTCACTATTTTTAAATTAATGTCTATATTGCCATGAAGCAAGTAGGATTTTCTTGCCTGGGATCTTCCTATTGGTGACCTAATCAAAACGTCCGATTTGGATGTGGGCGGAGTCAGATATGTACTTGATTAAGGGTAGCATGTTATTATTAGCCATTAGGCGCAGCTAGCAATGCTAACTTCTTGTTAATGAACATAAACAACGTAAATAAATACATAAATAAATCTGAGAGAAGGGGTGGTGGTATAGATACTTTTGAAAATGAGTATCGTATCCGGATACAACATTTTCGTATCGATACTTTTTCGAGTATCGATACTTTTGACAACCCTGGGCCAAAGTATGACCAGACGCCCGTTTGCTCGCCAAACCGCTCGCCGTCGCTTCCCTAACGCCCCTCTCCCCTCTTCCAGATCGCCACCTCCAGGGGGCGCCTCTGCCAGTCGCTGAAGGCCGTGGTGGCGGCCACTAAGGGCGCCGCCCAGAGCTACCCCTCGGTGTCCGCCGCCCAGGAGATGGTGGACCGGGTGGCCGAGCTTTCTCAGCAGGCCGCCGGCTTCTCCACGCTGCTGCAGCGCCTGGCCGAAATGGCGTCCTGATGTTTTCCCCCCGCCGGACACACGGACCCTTCCCTCTTCCTGTCCCCTGCTTTGCAATGCCTTATTTACCCACCCAAACGCGATCTCCTTTCCCCCAGAGCCGGATCCTCCAAGGAGTCAGTCCAGTCCCTCGCCACAGCTGTTACTAATCAGGAGTCGGACCGCGTTTGTTGTTTGATTCCCCGGCATTTTTTTGTTAACTTATTGAGTTTCTGAAGCCCCTCTGCGGTTTAATGTCCGCGCGGATTGCTTATTTTGGGAGCTTTGATTTAATAAGCCCGCCACGTTTCCCCCTTCTCCCCTCACATGATAGCTATTTTTCTTCCTTCCTCTTATTTATTCAGCCGGCCCGCTCCGATCCCAAAAATAGTGCGAGCCTCACATCCTGGCTCCGACCTCAAAGGCCTTCTGTTGTGTTTTCTGAAGCGGATTAAGCTGCACGTGGAGGATTTTGTGCTTTTTATACGAGAGAAAATGAACAGAGTGGAATGCCAGGGCACAGTTCCCCCTCCTCCATTTGTGAAACATGCGAGTGTGTGTCTCGTGTCCCTTTTTCCTGTTTAGTATCGCTCACAGCCGACTCAGCAAACCCCTCTTAAGACATCCTCAGCTCACCTCCATGCGGCTCCTTCCTGACAGGTACAGATAGTGCATCACACGGGAAGAGGGTGACTAAAGGCAGCCGGGTGAGAAAGTGCCGGCGCGTGTTCTTTCCCACAGTCAGGTGGTAAACTGACAGAGGAACAGAAACCTGTTGACCGGGTTCGCCTGCCTCCACACGTCTCAGTATGATATCATAACTCGTCTTCTTTCCGTGCTTTTTATCTTCACATACCCCTAAAATATCTGTGGCCAGCCCTCAGTGATCTGCGTTGGTAGTTTGAAGTGTGTTACTTGTGTATTTCATTATTAGTTACCATCCGAATTTTACACTTTTTGTGCAATTTTAATCAGAATTGGACTATTTTGGGGGTTTTTGGTTTTATGCAATCTGTATTATGTTGCCCAGTCGTTTTGAACACTACGAGACTAAGCACAGTCCACTTTTGATTGAATGGGAGAAAGAATCAAAACCTGTTTTCCCTCATAGGCTGAAGCTCATCCGAGGGCGTCTCACCTCTGCTTTCGGCCGTTTACGCTCTGAAAAACGTGAAGTTCTGCTGAAAAACAGCTCCTAAAAGTTAAAAACGGAGCGACCGACACATCTGGTCATAACCGAAGGCCAGAGTCCCTCTGGGGGGGGCTGAAGCAAGGATGTAAATCAAAGTGTTGGGACCCGGGCTTTATTTTTTTTTTCAATCGTGTTACTCAACCCGACTGCACGTTCTCTCAGAAACAAATCTCCATGGTGTTTCATAATCAGGATTTTTCCTTTGTGTGTGCGTCTGGTTGCGTTTGCTCTGAGAAATTCTACATTTCTCTGCCTTGATATTTTCTTTGCTGCAGTGCCACCTTTTGGGAGTTTTGAGTATTACATAAGGACTATCTGCCTGCTAAACCGGGCTGTGTGTGTGTAAGAGTGCATGAGAGACAGTTAACCTTTAGATATATATTTATTATGGCCAGGCTTGGTGTTTTGTTATGTTTTTTGTCTTTTCTCTCCCATTTGCATGGCTTTTTTTTATGCACATCCTACACCAGGGAGAATCTTTTAGGTTATTTTCGATGCTTAAATATGGTTTTATATATATATATATTTTACATTACAATCCAAGTATATTGCTGTTTTCTTTTGTACAAGGTGTTTTTTTTACACTACTCGTGAGTTCATGGGTCTCAAGTGTATTTGCTGACATACGCGAGTCGATTTTGGACGAATCACCCTCAACAACTGCAAGTCCTCTTACTTTTAACACTACATTTGATGTTTGTCTTGTATTCCTGTTTAAAAATGCACAAATACATCTTTTACAAATAAGCAAATGTATTAATTTGTCTATTTAAATCTGGCGTCTGTGTGTCTGGTATGAAAAAACTGGCTTTTATTTTGAACAGTTCCAAAATTAGATGTTAGTTTAAAGTTTTATTTATTTATTTGATTAAAAAACAAATTGAATCTGAGTCAATTTAATCTAAAAAAGACCATCTAACTGGGAAAGGAAGTTACCCAAAACTGGGTCAGTAACGTTTCCTATGGCACGACCGATCGGGCCCACCCGAGTCCTTCCGGAAGGAGCCGAAGTGTGACGCTTAACAGCAGCCGTAGCGACGCTCGCCGGAGTTCAGACGAGCGGAGGGAGCAAAATGGCGGACGAGGATATTACGCTCGATGGAAAACCTCTACAGTCGCTCCGAGTCGCGGACCTGAAAGCGGCCCTGGAGCAGAGAAACCTCCCGAAAAGTGGGCAGAAAAACACGCTCATAAAGCGCCTCAAAGGGGTGAGTCTGCACGCGCGCTTTAGCCGTTGGTGTCGAGTCTAGCTAAGTTCAGCGGGAGGCGACAGACGTTGGGGGGGTTAGGAAGGGGGGGGGGGCGGACGTTAGAGGGCCGAAACGGTAAGCGGGAACGCGTAAACCGTCTTAAACAACCGGGAAAAAGTGGAACCGGCCCGGTTCTCCGGGGGGCCCCCGGGGCGGGAAAGTTGGGCCGTGATCCGGGAAACTCCTCGCGGAGCACCGTGTTGCTCGCACAGTTGAACTGTGCACCTGTCAAGTCGAGGCCTAAGCGGAGAGTAAACGGCCAACGGCCGCCGCACATAGTGTTCGGTACATGACAGCGACCGCGCGCGCGCGCGCGTGCGTGCCCGTTAACCCCCCCCCCCATCCGCGCGCGCGCTGCTCGAGATGTAAACACTTATTTAGCCGACGTCTCCGGAGGTGCTAATCCGGTGAAGAAGTCTTCGTTTTCGCGGTTTTTACCGGATTTTCCGACCAACGTAAACGCGGTCTGCACATGGCATCCGGTCTACAAATAACCGGAGGACCATAAATAAATGAAGAACCGAGTCCAGCTGCCCCTTCCCCCCCCACACCCCCACTTTTACTGGGCACAGAAAGAGGCAAAAAGCTGTCTAAACTCGGTTATTGTGCTGGAATAGCCGTGTTTAAATCCTCATTCGCGCAAACTAAATCAAAATGGGGTTTTGGCGGACCGTACAACGTTGGAGGGATTAACAGATTTATTTGTTAGCCGTTCAACAGCACTTCCTCAATGCTGATATAAGCAGTCTGTGGAACAAGCAAAGAAGAGTGACTCCACACGTGGTGCTTTAACAGCTAATTTGCTTATGTCCAAACAATTTGCACTGTTTACTTAGAGCAGAAGTACTGAAATTGTAAACGAATTGGGTCGTTGATGAGAGTTTGAGAGAGAAAAGTGGAACAAAGGTTGATGTCCAGCTTGGACTAAATACTGACATGTATGGTTTTGATAATGAGATGATAAACAAGCTGGTTAATTTAAATTTGAACTAACAATATTATCCACTGAGCATCTTTAAAGGCCTCCATCTGTGTCCATCTTTGGCCACAAATGGACAGAATACAGCCACACGGTAAAGTCAGATAAGAAAAACAATTAAAAAGTGGACACACAGGAATATTAGGAGTGTTGACAGATAACAAATCTGGTTCCTCCTAACCCTATTTTACCCATTTTCCATGCTCTTCTGGTTTATTGGTCACTGTTTTTGCGTGACTTTACACATGAATCAACAATGGGATGAAAATGTGCACAAGAATGCACCAAATTGCTGATTAAATCATCCAGATTAGTCACAGCATCCCATCTTCGTTTGCACAATTTTCCGGGATCATTTTGAGATGCATAAAACATGGACAGGTCTAAATATTCTTTATGGTCCCAGCACACTGCTGCCCACCCAGTCCACCTCGTACTCTGTCAGTACTGTATTAGTTTGTTAGAAATCAGACTCCAAATCAGGATTTGTGTGCTCATCCTTTAATGTGCTGCCTATTACAAATGATTTTGTGTCTATCACTGTGTCTTTCTATTTCCTACCTGCTATCAAACCGAGGCCTCTGGTGTACAGTTTGATGCAAATCTAATGAAGCTACTCATCCTGTAACACTCAGACTCTCCCTGTAGATGCACTTTCTTTATCGCTCCCATGAGGGGAATTGCTTAGTAGTTGAGCTTTTTAAGTTATAGGTGTGATAAAACAATACATACTCATCATCAGCGATGGACAAAGCAGAATCTGTGCACAGTTCAAGTTGCATACATGCATTTATAACATTTGTAGTCACATTTAAATGCATTCTGTTTATAGGTGTGATTTAATAGTTGTGCTTGAAGGTCCACATCTTTATCATCTTTTTGAGATTTTTTTTTTTTTTTTTCCAGGTTAGTAAAATGAAGTTTTACTGTGACGGTCACTGGCTTAAGCCTTCTGGCTCTCGTGTCTTTTCCTTTGTTATTGTGAAGTTTTATATCATAGTTCATTTAAAGTTATTCTCTGTGTTCGATCCCCTCAGGCTCTGATGCTGGAAAACCTACAAAAGTCCTCTTCCTCACATATTGGCCTGCAGCCAAACTCTCAGGTAGGTTAAAAAAAAAAGAGAAGGTACAGATTGGTCTGGTTTGGTTGCCTCTCCTGAGCGCTTTGAGCCTTTTGCTTCATGTTTTTTGTCCTGTTTTTGGGGTGCAGATCGGAGAAGAGATGTGCCAGAACAGCTTCATAAAACAATATCTGGCCAAGCAGCAAGAGCTCCTCCGCCAGAGACTGGAGCGAGAGGCCCAGGGAGAGGAGGACGCCGACGGTACGACACGTCTTTAAACGCACAGAATCACAAAACG